GCGTAATGCATAACCAAATTTGGCAGAGTAGTCGGAGATCAGCACTCTGGTGGAGGCTGCTGATTCCGCTGAGAGTATCCACCCTACTCTTTGTGCCTCTATTTCCCAATGCTTGCAGGGAGTACCTCCCAATATAAGTGAGAAGCGCTTATTTCCCTTGTGGTCATGTTGTGACGAACCACTTTCTGTAGCGCGTGACTTTCTGCGCAGCTACGATGAAGGGTCCTAAGCTGGGAAGGTTGGGCCAATTACGGGAGGTCGGGATGGATGGGAAATTGCATCGGTGCCCTCACTTCTTCGTCTTTTGCGTCGGTTCTTTTCGGTTGGCTGAGTTCGGAGCTGGGTGAGTCCCGGGATGGGTGATTGATTGGTCGGATGGCTGGCGCGCCGCCGAGCACGCGATTAATATATGTTGACGACAGTTCTTTTGGCTCGGTTTCGGAACCTTTTGGGCGCGGACATCGCGCGGGCATTTGCTTCGTTCTTTTTGAATTTTCTTTTTGCATTCTTTTTCGAATTTTGTCGAGCCCCGATGGCTCTCAAAATTTCGGATTTTCCTTTCAGAACTTGTGCTTTTCACTTTTTTGCATTAAGTAGGAATTTATGAATTTTGTAATTAGGACTTTCTTTTGCCCAGCGGCGCCTTTTTGCTTACACACTTCTTTATGCGGCTGCAACGGAGTTCTGATTAGTCGGCGCCCTTAATCGAATGTGTAACTGTAATCGTGGGTTGGCGCCATTGTAACTGTATCTTTCTTCTTGCGCTTCGTCTTTCCCGCCCTCCTTCTCTTTCTTTTGCTGCGTTTTTGTAGCTACGGACTGCATGCTCAGATCGGTGCATGGAGAGTGGCTACGTCCCCCACGTCGTGGCCCAGTCATGCAGAACGCAGGCACTCCCTCTCTAATCTCCCTCCTAAGTCCTGGTGATTCTGTGTTCTTCGCGCATGCATGCACGCTATAAATTTCGGCCGCGCGATTAGTTAGCTCTCTTAATCAGCTGTTGGAAGCTTGGGGTTGCACGATCAGCGAGGGTCGGCACACGAGCGAAGTAAGAGGTGAGTAGAGCAGGAGTCGGGCGACCCGACGAGATGGTGCCAAATGCGCGGGGTTGACGCGGGCCACGATGGACTGTGGGTGTGGGCGAACTTGACGGGTGCGAGAGGACTAAGCGGGGTGACGGCTTCGTGGGTTGGTGCGCGACGACGGACTGTCCGCATCGGAGAAGAAGAGAGAGGAAGGGAGAGTTGAGGTTGATGGACGCGGAGTTGCTGTTTCTTTTATCTTTTCTCCCTCCTGTCTTGTGTACATAAATTTTGATTTCGGCTCTAGGCGATCTGCCAGATTTCTGTTCGTCGGAATTTGGACTTGGGTTTTTGCTCACACTTGTCCTTGCGATTTTCCACCTCTGATGCACTGCGTGTATGATTGCTGAATGAATGGATGTATGGATGGTTGCTTATCTTTCTACCTGATCCTTGTCTTTGCTTTTGTTTGTCGCATTTGATGCACTCGTAAGTGGAATAGGAATTTTGCGCAATCGGTAATCTTGTCCTTGTCTTCGCGTGTCCTTTGCTTGAGCTGATTGTAGTCGTTGCATCTTGCATGCTCAAAACAACACGGAGTGATTAGACGATCGGATGCCAGGCTTGGCGAACGCCGCGCGAGGACACGTGTAGAACGCGATCTGAGTTGCGCACTTACACGTATCCCCGGGCGTCGATTCGTCAATCCCAAAGGGACCGTCGATCACAGGGGCACTGTCTGATTGGGCGGGGCCATCCCAGGGTCCTCAACGATGTCGTCATCCCGCATGAACACGCGTAAGCCCGGCGTAAGTCGCGTGGCTGCACGTGCTCGCACGCGGCGATCACGATCGCCACGGACTTGCCCTTAAGCAACTCATAACACCGCAATGACACAATGACGCGATCCTGGAATTCCGACTCATCATACGACCAGGATTACTTCACCCCCTCGATAAACGAAGCCCTTCGACAAAGGTACCCTTGCCTAACCGAGAATCGACTGTGCCCTCGGGAATTTCTCTGCGCCACTACCAGCGATCCCCGGTGCTCTGATTTCCCCTCCCCAAGCCATACCTACTACTTTATCCACCCCGGATTTGTCGTTATCTCCTCTAACTTCCCTCCGTTCCGACTTCTTCTTCCATATCATCGGCTCAGCGTCATCCCGTGGCCGACCATAGCCCCCTACTGGCCCAGCACGCCCTGCGGGAATTGTCGACGACGTGGCGATCAAAGAACCCCGGAATTCCGGAGGCCTAACCCGAACGCGCGATGACCAGCGCCACGTGGCAACTCCTGACAGCCTGACTCACCAAAACCCCATCTACCCCGAAGGAACCCGCCCGCGAACCGCCGTCCCCGAAACCAATGGCTCGCTCGACCTTGAGCGACCCGCGCATACTATCGGCCTTGTAACCAGAGGCGGTCCGCCCTCTCCGCCAAATTGCACTCGTGCCCCCGAAAAACCCTGCCACAGGAGATCTCAGTTCTGACCTGGGACTCCACTTTCCCAAAAATCCTTGGCACACCCCTTTTCGCACTTCCAGGCCCACATCCTACTCCGATCAGGAAGTCGCGCTGGGCGTGAGGTTGGTATTAGAGCCCGACACGTGGGCGGGTCTTAGGATTAGTAGCACATTAACTGGTCGATCTGGCTAACCGAGGGCGACCTCGACCCCGGAACGTGCATAGACGTGACCCCATCATCACCCGAAGTAGATCGGCTAATCGACGAGCAGCCAACATGACTGCTAATGTACAAAACCCGAATCCGCAACAAAATGTTAATCAACACAATCCTAACCCACCTGCCCCACGAGCGCATGGCTGGCCACACTTCGAGCACAGTAGTATGACGATAACGAAGCGCAGATAAATATTCCTGCTCGATTTCGAGGAGACGCTCATCATTGGTTTAGTACCTATGTATGGGTTGATCTCCCGACCTTTGAACGGGATTTTATGAATTGATTTGATTACGTCAATCCAGAACAAGCACTTTACATGATCAAAGACCGAGTGCAAAAACCTCTCGAGTCTGTCGCAGAATACCGAAACCGATTTTACCGAATGTTTGTGAAGACTGAGGGAGGCGAGCAAGTTGGGAGAGATTTGTTTATTGATGGGCTTCGTAGCCGAATGATAAGGGCGAAGTTGCGAAAGCAATTTTCCCCCATCACCCATACATTGCAACAGATCTGTGTAACCGATTCAACGCCGTGAACGCGCGTTCACGTTCAAACGCGCTCGTTCAAACCCCCCAGCCCCGCGTTCAATAGCGTTTGAACGCGCTACACGCGCGCGCGAACGAAAAAATTGAACGCGGTCCTGCGGGGCGCGCGCGCGCGACTGGGGCTACGGGGTGGTGGTCCGAGTTCGACAAACCCCCAAAGTGCGAAAACCGCCCCCCGGGACCACTCGATACCCCCCCCGCCCCCCCGCCCCGCGGTCCCCACCCCCGAAATCGCCACCTGCTAAGCCCCGAGTCCCCTACCCCTACCCAACGGAGGGCCACCCAGTACCGCCACCTCCCCTTCCCCCCGGGGACGTTTTTTTTTTTTCTTTTCCCACCCACAATTACAACCCCCCAAACTGCGCCACGCATTTAAACAAACAAATACACACACACATAATCACATTCACACACACACACATAAACTGCGAGCTTTCTTTTATTTATTTTTTAAAAATATCTGTTTTCCTTTTTTTTTTTTTAATAGCACAAAACAAACGGTTAGAGAAATTTAAAAAAAAGGGTTGCAAGCAAAAAAAAAAAAAAGGGGGGGGGGGGGGGGGGGGGGGGGGGGGGGGGGGGGGGGGGGGGGGGGGGGGGCTACGGGAGGGCTTGGGTTATGAGGGGCCTGGAAGCACTTCGGGGGTTTGGGTTTCGTGCGTATTCAAATCGCGCCAAACCCCAACCCCCCAAGTCCACCCACGCCCCCGGGTGCCCGAGGTTTTTGTGGTGCTCATATAGTGGGAAGCAAGATTTCAGAGAAACCAAGGGCGGACTCAAAGCACACAAAACACTTGTCGTCTGAAAATAGAAACATCGCAAATGCGAAGATGTAATGATCGAAGCAAAATGCAAACCAATATAGCATGGATAATAGCAAAAATCTGACACATCGTGTCGAAGCCCCGCCAATCTGTGGAAAGAAGTACCAACCCGAAAATGCCGACGAAAAAGTACACTAAAATACACTGGAAAGCTACAATCTCCGAAGTAGCAAACTGCGGAGAAAAGTGCCTACAGGAAAGTACACTATAATACAACATCACGAAACACTACGTCTGTGCAGAAAAGTACCCACTGGAAAGTAGACTATAATACAACCTCACGAGACACTACGTCTGTCATAAATAACAAAAAACTAAAGTACACTTAGAAAGTCACGAAAACGCAAGTCCGTAATCCGTCAACAATCGTCGTGCGCACGTGGATCTCGCTCGGACCGATGAGAAACTCGTCCGTGGGATGGACCACTGCCACGTCCTCGATCTCTCTGACGCTGGCTGCCGCGTCCGTCGGCAGAAGGCTCGGGAGCGACGGGAAGTTCGTCGGGATCGTCGTCCATAATGACTCTCCTGCCTCTCACCGTCCTGATGGCTGCTGCTGCTAGGTCATGACGTCAGCGTGAATCGCGTGCCATAGGTAGACCGTCAGTCCCTAAAGTCTCCCCCTCCTGGCGTCGATCTAAGGGCACGTGTCGGACCTGCCTCAGTCGTGTAACAACATCAGGCTCCTCCAAGATAATCGACGCCTCTCTCAAACCGTAGGCCCGCGGCGGATCCACTGCGCTCGTCGTGGCACCGCCTGTGCCCTCACGTCGACCGTCGCCGTCGCCACCACTAGCACCGCCGCCGCCCCCTCTACCGCCAAACCCTGAAGCTACAACATCTTGGCGTCTCGCACTCGTGGAAACCCCTCTCAAACCAGGCTGACGAGTGGCACTCGCCGTCGTCACCCGTCTCGTCTCACTCCATGGTCGATCAGTGCGACCGAACTACATGGTGTCCAGCAACTCCCGCGCACGCTGGGTAGTGTCTCTCCGTCTACGGGCAACCGACCTCGGGGTGAGACTACCGACCTCTCTGGGAGTTGTGGTCAAGGGTGACGAAGGGCCTGCGGCGCCTCCAGATGGCGCTGCGACCGAACCTCCAGAAGGTAAGTCCGCTGCGGCCCCGCCAGATGCCGCTGCGACGGAACCTCCAGAAGGTAAGTCCCATGCAGCCCCGCCAGATGGCGCTGCGATGGAACACCCAGAAGGTAAGCTGGGGTTGGCTGACCCCCAAGATAAGTCCTGCACGTGAGGCAGCTTCCCCTCCTCCGGGACTGACCTCAAATCCCTCCTGCTGTGGTCCTCCAACTCCTCAGCAGTCATAAAACCAAAAGGGAGGCTGCCCCGAGGCATAGCCACATGCCTGATCTCCGGCCTCGTCCGTGACGGCGCAAAAGTAGGGACCGCGGGTATGCGCGCGCCCCTGCCTATACGTCGCTCCTCGAACGGGCCACCGCCATGTGCAAAACGCCTATAACCCTCCAAAAACGGTGCCTGATGTGGCACCACTGGCCCCACAGCAGTGCGAACCACCAAAGTCTGTGGCATCTCCTGTCTGTCCGCGTCACGGCTGTCCACCTGTGCGGGGTCTCCCCCGCCAGACGTGGACATCGGATCGGCCGCGGATGGCACCCCCGACCCGCCAACACCAACGGCCCCCTCTACGGCCCCGTACCCCCCAGTGGTTGGCGCTATCCCCTTCGCTTGTGCCGATGGGCGAATATCATCAACGCCCACTGACTGCCCCGTATGTATGTCCTCTAGACCCGGGGACATATGCACGGCACCCTCAACTGAACCCACGGGCAGAGGCACGCCCGCGACCTCCTGCAATGTCTCCTCGAGCCTCAGCTGGACGGCAGGAGGCGGCGCTGGCTCCGAACGTGGCTCCTCTACCAGAGGATCCGTGTGGGCAGCTGGCCCCACGTCAATGGACGCCGGCGTGAATGTCCCCAGCTGCCTCCGTCGGTCCTCCGCCGTAAGACGGGCGAGCTCCTGAGTCGTGGGGTCCCTCTGTGCCATGAGGCAAGCTCGACGACTATCAAGCCTATCCAGCCTCTCTGCAGATGTCTCTCCAGAGGGTGTCCGGTCCTCATCCCCCTCTGCCCCCAACATCACCTCTGCGCGCATGGCAGGGGAGAAACTACTAGGATCCGCGAAGCTGATCTGTCCCAGTAAGTCCTGCATACCCACACTGATGTCCCCACGGGACTCGCTCTCTCCTCGGGCCAGACCGACGCTCTCTCCCGGGGGCATACCCAAGTCACCAAACTCACTGAAAACGCCTCCGCCGCCCATCGGTATCCTATCAACCGCTGCATCAACCTCATCACCGCCTCCACCTCCTGCCAACGCACCGCCATCTCCACCAACCAACCCCTGTGTGTCTCCGTCGTCACCCTGCACCGGCATAGGACCGCCCTCTAATCTGTCCTCCAATCGCTGTCTCGGGCCCCTCACCAATCTCTGCAATCGATCTGCATCGGCTGGCTGTCGATGAAGCTGCTCCGTCAAAGTGGGAAGAGCGGTGGAGGATGCCGTGCCAGAGCGACCTAGAGGACGATGGCCAATCCCCGACTCTGCCCCCCTCGAAGGTGCAGACCCAGGATCTCTCTCGCGCTCAGCGGACGTAGGCCTCAGATGCTCTAAAGGGCTCCCATGACGACCCCCAGACTCCTCCTCCAAATCAACTCGAACGAAAAGGTCATCTCCGCCACTCCGTCTATGGACGTCCTCTGGGTCGCTCCACTCATCACGCTCATCCGCCGCAGGAGTGGCGGTAGCGGGGCCCGCCGGCTCGTCCTCGTCCGCGTGACCCTCGGAATCACTGTCGTCTCGAAAGTACGGGTGGAATGTGGCGGCTCGAGTCCCAAAAACATCGCCCACATCACTCGGACGAGCTCTGGACCCACATGGGTCTCGCTGCCATGAACGTCTCTGATCCTCGACCTCCTCCCACGTCCTGCTCTGAGGTTCTCGTCCGTCCCCTTCCACGAGGGGCGAATCCCGATACCTCCCTCCACGTCCAACAACGACTTATCTAGAGTCCACGACAGCGCGAACCCGCGGCCTGCCCGCTGATGAGAGAGAAGGCGGATGTTGGCTGAGATCTCAACCAACTTCGCGACCTTCTCGAACTCAAGCCGGTTACGCTTCTTCGTCTATACACCCTCGTGGACGGCCCAATTCCTCTCTGCAGGAGAGGAGCACGTCCACATGTACATCACACGAAGAGCAATAACCTGCAACTGCGGGGCGCACTGCCCGTACCTCGACCACCAACACCCGGACCCGTATGTCTCCGCATCACCCCTGCACCTCCATGCATCTCTCTCTCCGTCTCTCCCCCCCCAAGCAATCGTCCCCCTCTGTGTGTGGAAGTCATGCAATTGCGCACATGCGGTCTCGTAGTCGCGACTCGCTACACTGAACCCTGTCTGCGACAAGATGTAAGTCTCCACCTCCCTCACCAAGCTCGCGTCGTAGTCGCTGACCACACCCTCGAAGTACCACAAGTCCCGCTGGCTGGGACAAAGAAGGTGAGCAGCGGCGTGCGCCGTCTCCAGCATGTGAGCGCATCGAGCCTGCACCCTCTGCACAATGTAGTGTGCAAGATCTGTCGGAAGTGCACAAACCTCCTCTGCTACCTGGCAGGCCAGATCCTGTGTCCACTCAACCACCCGCGACAAATGCAGCCCTCCGTGGTCCAACCTGCACAGCAGGTTGTACACAGGCTCCATGATACGCAACAAGATGCCCATGGAATCCCACCAACTGCCATGTCGCACCTGCCACCTGACCCACCTAGCCAAATGACGAATAAAATGGTCCCAAGGAACCATACCCCAAGTATCGCCATCCACCGTCCTCACCAAAGCTGACCTCACTGCCAGCAAACGCTCCACCATCGCGAACACGGATGCGAAACGTGTCTCGTAAGGATAGATGAGGCCCATCTGACCGCTCTCCCCCCGGAAGATATGGAGAGCGGCGTCGTACTCCTTAATGAAGCGCACCACCGCTCTCCCCCTCACGCTGATGTCCTTGGACCACGGGCCCGAACAGCCAATGTCTGACAACATCTTGTTGCAGACATGCACTGCGCATAGGAGCCACGCGATCCGTCGATGCTCTGGCCTCTGCTGGGGCCCCTGGAGCATGTTCGCCGCGACGACGTACGGCGAGGCGGAGTCGGTGCAGATGGCATTCACCCACTTAGGGGAGAAGTCATCGAACACCTTGATCCAGCGCGCCAACACATCAGGCGCCCGATCCCGCTCACCCTCCCTGTTCATTGTCCGGATGAGCATCACCCCACGTGACCCGCCGGCAAGGAAGTTAACGATGGGTCTAGCATCGCGTGACTTCCTTCCGTCTGACATAATGGTGGCCCCCGTGACATAGAAAGGAGCCCTGACCTCCGCGAGATCAGCTCCCACATCGTCCGCCGTGTGGACAATGGTCTCTATGTCCGCGATCTCATTCTCTGAAGGCCACAACACCTTCATTGGCCCCGACAAATCCCTGAAGTGTCGGACGACGTCCAACCACGGCTCGCTCCGGAAGACGTTGAACGCCAGGCGCTGACTGTATACAAAACGCAGCCACTTCTTCTTGAACTCCATCTGCCACTTTGAAGTGAATGACTCCGTAATCGTGTTCCGTCTCATCCTCTTCTTTGCTGTCGTCGGTCTGGCCCCCTCCTCTCTGTCCTTCCTCTTCCCCGCAGACGGACCCGCCTCAGTCGTATCCGCAGCTGCCCGTGTACGAACAGACACGTGCGCCGATGCAAAGTACTGGCCCTGCTGCCCCCTCGGCTTGCTGACAACGCCCTTCCCTCGCTCCCTCCCTGACGACCCCGCCCGTGCAACCTCCTCGACGTCGTCGTCCACGTCGATGTGCTCCTCCGCGTCCCTCATTTCTCCCTCCCCTCCCTCGTCCCATCGCGGATCCGTCGCAGGGGCCGCACAGTGAAGCTCCTCAAATCGCTGGATCCGCTCTAGGAACTTGTGGGACATCTTGTACTCACTATTGTAGTGGATGTCGACAAGTGCCTTGTCGGTCACTTCCGGACATCCCTTGCCCTAGCGGAAATGGCGCGCTGCCACAAACTGGTTGCCCTAGAACTCGTGGCCGCAGAAAACGCACTTCAACATGCGATTGCCGCGAAATCTCTCGCCGAGACTCTGTCCCACGCGGATGTACTTGTACACGCAACACTTCTTCAACGGCTTCCGATGCTCGTCCTCCCCCCCATCCTCAAACACCCGAGACTGACCTCGCGGCATCGTGCCCGCTCGCCGATGGGTTCACCGAAGTGGTCCACCCTCAGCGTGTCCCACGAAGCTCCAACTCCCGCCGGCGTCCCTCCCTGCACCAGGCCTCGTCGGGCCAACCCCTAGCTGCCTCTGTCGTGTCGGCCGTGCACCCCCCACGGGCTTGAAACCCCCACTGCGCCGACAACGTGGCGCGGGCCGCGCAAAGAACCCCTCCCCCAGGCGGCATTCAAAACAATTGAACGCGCGTTCAAAAACATTGAACGCTCGTTCAATTTTTAGTTCCGCTGCGCGCCGTCGTCGTCTTCGTCACGAACTCCGTCGTTGGGGCCGCCGTCCGCTGCCGCGCTGAGCCGTCG